GAGAAGGGTCAGAAGACTCAACTCTATTGCATTACTGGCTACGAAGATGGAGGAAGGGACCATGTGTCAAGGAATGTAAGTAGTTTCCAGAAGCTGGAAAAGCAAGGAAATGGATTCTTCTCTGGAATCATCAGAAAGGAATGCAACCCTGTTGGACACCTTGGCTATCACTATGTTGAATTTCTAGTTTACAAACATATAAGATAATAGGAGGATTTCTTCCCTGATCCATCCCTCCTTCCTTCGACCCCGTACCGTAGGCTGTACTTGTGTCCCTCATGCTTTAGCTCCCACTGGCTGAATCTTCCTCTTTCATGCATCCAGCCCCAACTAGGCTCTAATAACCCTATGTTTTCTCTCTTCACCCCTTCACTCTTAGAGACACCCATGGCTAATTGCTTGTTTCTGGAAGCATCTCTATCCCTTGATTATTCACTTAATGCAGCCAACACCTCTGGTGGTAGTCACTCACTATACATCTTTTATTTTAACAGTCTCGGGTAAATTTGTTCCCTGCTAGGACCCAGAATAGGGCAGCCTTGTTTATTTAAAGTATTTTGAAAGGTTGCTAAAATTAGTTCATGTATACTTGAGAGAGGAGCATATAGCCGAAAGACAGGGGAAAGGTCGTGAGAAACCATCTGACCCCTGAAAGAAGCTTCAGAGTCTTACGACTTTTCCATTCCCACGAAGCATGTTTATGACTTTTTTTAATTCTGTGATGTCCCTGTGTCCTTATCCTCTCCACTCACACCATTCCACTACTGCTATCTGTACACAAATATTTTTTTCTTGATGGGTATTTACTCTCTGTGTTTGCAATTTCTTATGCTGAGAATCCTCTCTCACCTTTTTGTATTTAATGTTCAGGATACAAACAGATCTCTGAAAACAAGAGGATCAAAATTTCAGAATAAGCATCACAAAGATCACCAATTTGTCCACACCAAACTATATTCCATGTTTAACATGCAGAAAATTGGCAGGTTCATGAAAGAGACTGTGAATAATAAAATGGACACATAACAGCAGAACACCTTCCTTACTAGTACAGATGCTCTAGATCATACTGTGCTGCAGCCAGAAGCTGACACTCACAAACAACTATATTCTGGCCCCATCTGAGAGTTCGGACTTGCTTCTCAAACAACACCTACTTCTTCCTTACTGTGCCCATAGATCAGAGAACACAAGAATGGATGGTGTTGAGGGACCATCTCTTCCAGTGCCTTCACTTCATAACTGAGGACAGTAAAGCCCATCAGTGTGGCTACTATTAAAAAGGCTACGGAGAAAAGGGAACACTTACACGCTGTTGGAGGGAAGGTACATTAGCTCAGCCACTGTAGAAAGCAGCTTGGAGATTTCTCAAAGAACTTAAGACATAACTACCATTTGACCCAGAAACGCAATTTTTGAGCATATACCAAAAGAAAAATAAATTACTCCACAAAAAGACACATGCACTTGTATATTCATTGCAGCACTATACACATTCACAAAAACATGGAATTAACCTAGGTGCCCATCCATATCGGACTGGATAAAGAAAATGTGGTATGTATATACCACGGAATACCACACAGCCATTGAAAAAAACAAAATCATGTCCTTTGCAGCAACATGGATAGAGCTGGAGGCCATTATCCTAAGCGAATTATTGCAGAAACAGAAAACCAAATTTTGCACGTTCTCTTTTATAAGTGGGAGCTAAACTTTGGGTACTCATGGACATAAAGATGGCAACAACAGATACCGGAACTACTGACAGGGTCAGGTTTCTTGGGCATTTAAACATGACACCATCACTTAACTGTACAAACCTGGACAAGTAAGTTTACTTCTCTGTGCCCAAGTTTTCACACATCTGTATAATGAAAGTAATAGTACTATTTATCACAACATTGTTCTGAGGATTAAATGAGATCATATCTGTAAGGTGCTTTATAACATGTGCTTATAATCAAGAAATGGATTGAGGATATTAGAATGAAAACTAAGCTTATACATTTTGATGCATGATTAATCCTTAGCAACCCTGAAGAAAAGATACTCTTCTTTGCAGATGATGAAACAGAGACTCAGAGAGTTTAATTAATTTGGCCTAAGTCACAAAGTTCTCGCTCAATGGAAAAGATTCAAATCCAGATCTACCTGATTCTAAAGTCCATGCCACTCATACTCATCCATGCTGTGACCTTTTTATTCTGAGCACGAAGTTCCTCAGCTCTTCTTACGGCCCTTCCCAATGTTCAGTCCGTGCCCCCAAGGTTCATTTTCCTTAGGTTACTGTTGACTCTTCTCTCTCCTTCATTCAAATATGCTATCTAAACTAGCACAACCACATACTCTCCAACCTTTTCTCTGCCTTATTTTTATTTATACCACTTATCACTACCTGATTATCATATTATATATTTAGTTTATTTTCCACCTTCCCCACTGAGATTGTAAACTCCACGCAAGGACTGTTGTCAAATTTTGTCCATGGCTATATCCATAGCATGTAGAATGCAGCCTAGAACATGGTAGGTGCTCAACAATCATTTTCATGAAAAATAAATGAATGAGCGGATGAATGAAATTCTGTCCTTCTACAAGTACTGGGCAAGTGCACTCAACAAGAACACTCAACATATCTATTGCTTTCTTTTCCCAAGAAAGCACCATTTGCTAGAGCTTAAAACTCACACACCAGAGATCTCTGCTTTATTATGCTCTGCCATTTAAAATCATTTTCCATATCAAGGCATTGTACACAGAGCAGTAAAAACACTTTCTGCCACTTTTTCTTATTTCCTGGTGTGTCTTAATTCCTAATTATTATTGTCGGTTTTATATCGAACAAAACAATACTGACTTGAATTTGCCTAATGAAAACTTCCATTTCTTCCTACCACATAACTATTCAAGTTAAAATCAATACTCCCCAAAGGGCTGGGTCCCGATAAAATCATTACAAGGCATTTTTTTTTTCAATTTCTGCATGGTATTATGAAAAACAAAGTCAAATTGCTCCAATTCTTGCCTCCTGGGCTCTTAAAATTTAACACAGATAATGATGATGTAAGAAGTTATATTGGTACACAAATAACCATTTCATGGGTTGATGCTATGAGATGCAAGGAGATTTTGAGAGTGAAGTCTAGGTATGCAACAATGGACTTTCCTAGTCTAGGTTTTACTGTTTGCTATTTCTTCTACTTTGAATCCTCTTCCACCTTTTGTACTCAAATTGTATTTCTCACTGGTTGGCTTCTCAAATTCCAAACCCACTCAAGTTTGGAGATTCCAATTTCTCAGGCAGCCCACAAAGCAACAGTGCTCAGCAGAGCTTTGTGAATGTACATAAGTGGTTGCGTGTATTTTCAGGATGCTGAACATACACATGGTGAAGTTTCAAGAATGTAATATAGAGCTAGTACATCCTCAAACAAACTGTGATCCACAGCTGTTTAATAATAGGGGTTAACCTCAGTTCTCTAAGAAATGTTTACATAGTAGGTATACATCTCTACTATGCACAGCATATTCACCTAGTTGTACTAAAATATAATGTATTTTCCTGTCAATGATAGTCACTTCTACTGTTTAAAATTTCCAGATTTTGTATAATGATCAGGGGTTGCTTTTATAATTGGAAATAATGTTATTTAAAAAGAGATATATTTCCAATCCTGCATAGAGTTGACCATAATGATACCAATAACATTTTCTCCTTCAAACCCCTGAGAAAACTATCATTAGTTTGTAGTTTAACGCAATATCTGTTTTTTTGCAGATTTAACAAAACTTTCAGCCTGACCCCCAAGTTTTCATAAATATGCATATGCCCTATGGCTCCTTCTTCATCACATACCAACTCTAAGTCATCAGAATGAAGTTTTACTTGATTGAGCCTGACCCGGGTCTACAAAGTATTATGCAGAACACAAAGGAACAACTGGGAGGAAAATTCAGATTAAGCAGCTCAGCTTTGAGGATCCTGTGGCTGTTCTGCATTTAAAACCTTGGTAAAGCAGCTACTGGCAGTAATTTAAGATAATCAGGCAAAAATGGGTTGATATCTCAAAATAGCCAAGTGCATGTTTTTTAAAAAAAGTATTAAAAGTAATTGTGGCCATTACTTTTAATGGCAAAAACCACAATTACTTTTGTACCAACTAATAGTAATCCCTTGTAAATATAAAGTACCTAATCTGAGATAGCCCCTGATTCAGGGCATTGTAATGGATTATCTGTTATAGTCAGAACACTGTAAAAAAGAAATTATCTTTATTCCACGTTAAAGGTGGGTTTCAAATTCCAAAGTCATCAAGGGACTTGTCCGAGACCACACAGTCCTAAATAACAAAACTGGAATTCACACCCCTGACTGCCTTACTCCAGACTCACGTTCCTTCCTTTACACAAAGCTGGTACAGATTGGGTAATCCTGACGCTGCCAGGAAACTCAAAGGACAAGGGCCAGAAATACAGGGAGGGAAATTCATGTGTTATACAGACTTTTCTATCCAACCTGCCCCTACATTCAGCTAGGTAAATTCTTTTAGATTCAGGAACCTACTGGGGAAATGTGTAATCAGGCAGAACTAGAAAGTCCACAGGAGCCAGACACATATTTGGCAAGCAGTGTTTTGTTTCACAGGTTGATTTTTAAGAAGTTCTTTTTTTCCATCATTTCCTTCTTCCCTCCCTCCGTGACTTCCTACCTCTTTTTCTCCTCTCTCTGCCTGTTAGTTTGACAACCTAAGTTAAGCTCCACTCTGGGTCATGTATGCATTATTTCTCCTCAATGTACTTGGCCTTAGAATGTATTTGAAACCAGAATGCATGGAAATCAGCTAGGGGAGAGAAAGGGGAAGAGGAGATGAAGAGAACAAACCCTACTGTGGCTCCAGGCAAACAAAATCAAGCTTCCAGAATTTAAAAAAAAAACAAAAACGAAACAACAACAAAAATATGTCACATTCTGTACCACATAGGTGGTGACCACTTACACACAGGCCTGAAAATGCAAACAGCTGTACCTTGCCTTCTTTTGATGTCAGTCGTTTCCTTTGTGAAATTCAGGGACAGACTCTGATTTCCAAGTCCCAAGTTTAACACTCTGTGGTTCTTACGGTGTCTCCTAGAGTTAAATGGAATATTGAATAGTAAGAGGGAAAATACACTTTCAATAGAGTCATGTAACTCTAGAAAAATTTTGTAAATACACATTTTGGGTTACACATTGTTTTATTTAAGTCTAGATAACAGTGCCATTTGCATTCTAATCTTTCTAATCTCAGCTTGGTTCCTTCCTTGCTAGGAAATAGATGAAGCTCTCATTCTTTTTGGTGTTTTAATTTCCTCAGTGGTTAAGCAAGGATGACACATCTAACCTGCCTTTCAGAATGTCTGGATGGACACTATAGCAAAACCTTTTTAGAATGTTTTGGCTTAAAAGACTTCTCTCTGAACCATATATATGTTTAATACACTATTTTCCCCAAACAGTCATCAGTAGGATTTACAAAGAAAATATATTCATACAATGGGGTTAATTTCTCTAGATCCTTGGATGATCTCAAACTGTTTGGCCTTGACTAATCAATGAATTTGAATTTTTGGCAAATACCAATCACTATGTACATGATTCAAATATTTGCCCTTTTCTGCATAGTCAAGGCAATCTAATTTTAACTAATTGTAAGAAAATAAATGTTAATATTCAACAGCATTAGAGTACTGTTTTGTTGCACTAAAATTCCTCTAGTGACATAAGATATCAAGATCCAAAAATTCCATGGAGATCCCAATGCATGATGTATAAAATCATATTGAGACTAAATGCTGAAGTTGGAAATGATCTTAAAAAGGAAATCTCATGAAAAGCCTTGATTTTATAGATGAAGAAAGGAGGAAAATAAAATTTCCTAAGCAACCAGAGGTACTGTACTAAGTGCTTTACTGCACCAGTGTATTCAGTCTTCATCATCGCTCTATTACAGTTCCTTCATTTTACCTAAAAATAACCTGAAAGCCAGGGAAGTAAAATAATTTACCCATCCTCAGTGATATGATTATGATTAAACTCCAGATTCTGTATCAGAGGTCCTCGTTCAGAGATCAAGCCAAAAACCTATAAGTCTACTTGAGCCTAAATCCTATATTCAGTAGCAAAATGCCAGCAAGCTGACCAACACATTTTTCATTTTGAGAGAAACAATTCATGGCAGAAAGCTGGTACATGGACAACCAGGGAATGGTAAGACCACTTGGGTGCCTCTCTTTTAGGACGACCAATTACTGTATGTATAGAACAGGCTTTTTCCAACTACTGAGATCCAAATTGATAATAATTATGTTATACAAATAAAAGCTCAAATTTATTGAATATTTATGATATATCAAGGACTTCTAAAATGTCATTTTATACCGTCACATAATTTTTAAAGATAATTACCACCCCATTTACAGAAGATGTAACTGAAGCTTAGTTGGGTAGACAACAACAATAATACAAATTACTTGTATAGAATTTACAATGAGACAGGAACTAAGTCCTTGATCACATATTACTCATATGTTACACATACAACTTCTGTAATCATCACAACTACCCTATAAGGCAAGTATTAGTATTATACCCATCTACCATACGGGAAACTGATATACAGGGAGCTCTAAAATCGTACAATGCAACGGTAACAGGGCCAGCCAGGCTCTTATGCACTGCTCTACACTCAGTATGATGGAGACAGCCAGTGGACACAGAAGGATTTGAACCTAAGACTTGGACTCCGAAGCCCATATTCTTTCCAGGTCTTCATGTTTCTCAACCCTGTCTGCTCTTTAGAATAATATGGGAAACATTTGGGAAGTAGGATTTCCATTAAAGCAGTTGTCCCCAACCTTTTTGGCACCAGGGACTGGTTTCACAGAAGACAATTTTTCCACAGACCATGAAAGAGTTGCGGGGTTGGGGGATGGTTTTGGAATTATTCAAGTGCATTACATTTACTGTGCACTTTATTTATATTTTCATAACATTGTAATATATAATGAAATAATTATAAACTCACCATAATGTAGAATAAGTGGGAGCTCTGAGCTTGTTTTCCTGCAACTAAATGGTCCCATTTGGGGGTGATGGGAGATGGTGACAGGTCATCAGGCATTAGATTCTCATAAGGAGCCCACAACCTTGATCCTTTGCATGTGCAGTTCACAATAGGGTCCATGCTCCTACAAGACTCTAATGCCACATCTTACCTGACAAGAGGCAGAGCTCAGGCAGTAATGCGGGCAATGGGGAGTGGTTGTAAATACAGATGAATCTTCGCTAGCTCCTTGACCTCTGCTTACCTTCTGCTATGTGGACACGTACCTGGTCTGTGGCCCGGTAACAGTCCATGGCCTGTGGCTTAAGGATCCCTATATTGAAGAATGTGATCATTTTCTCATGTATGCAAACTGAAGGAGGTTTCAGTTGAGTTGCATATTTATTCCTAAGTGTCAATGAATCCTAAAAGAGGAGAGGAGTACCTTCCCTGTTGCTTGAAATGGAATTTTTCATCTTGATTCTTCAGATGACTTGTCGGTCACTCTGAGGCAGGCTCTAGACCCATTTCCACTGGTCCCAGCCTAAGCATGGCTGCCAGCAAACTCAGGCCAGAAAATCTACATGGGTTCTGCAAAAATGCCTTTGTGACCTAGATTATTTTTTTGTCTAAACATCCCTTAACTTTTCACTTTGACAATCATGTATTGAAATTCAACTATGGGCAAAATACTGTGCCAGGCAGTCTTGGGAACACAGATTCCTTGGCCCCAAGGAAAGCACAATCTATTGGAGAAAATATAAATATTGGCAGCTAAATATAATTCCTATTATAGTACCAAGGAGCCCTTTTGGCTCTGCATCTAAGTTTAAGTTTCTGCTATCTGTGAGAAAGTTAGAATGGGTTCAGGTATACTCTAGGGGGGGCAGGGGGTCAAATCAAGGCACATGAAGGGGAAATATGGGGCCTTACAATGTGTTTCACTTTCATAAATGAGTTTGGGCAACTCTGTGTGCTTTTAGTGTACCCTGGAGGATTAGGTAGATCATTATTGTTGTTGTTGCTATTTTATTCTCCAATGACAAGTTTACAGCATCTTCTCTTCAGTGGTTTGTGTCCCTGAGAGCAAAATAAACTCAACATTTTCTTCCTGCAACCTCTCATGAATATTAATGATGTCTTTATTTATTGTTTGGTAAAATATGACAAAAATAAAAACGCACTACAGCGAAAAAGAACATGTATATACCAAAAATATCTAGCTACTGTCAGAATACTTGTGTCATCATCATTATCAATAAATGCACACTTGACAAGGATGCTCCACACACTGTACCATCCCACACTTCCCTGTAACCACTGACCTTTCTTAAAGCGTGCTGCTAGTTCTTTGGTTGCTACTTGTGGAACTCCCATTAATTTTAAAGTTGCACAGTTTTGTTGTGCTTAAGTTACAAACACGGAGTTCAGTGACAATGGGCCAAAGAGATTCGTAACAGCAGTCTTCCAGAAACAGACTTTCAGGGCCTCAGAATCTTCCCTCAAAGATTTTTGTACTCAGAGGCTCAAATATATAAAACAAACAATTAAAATGGTCATAGTTAAAAGGGGGTGTAGAGTCCTACCTATACAGACCTACTCTCACACCCTAAAGCAGTCCAAAGCAACTTTGCAGAGCCCTTTGAATTCTACACATCACACTTGCAAAGCCACTGATCCAATCCATTTCATAGACGAAGACCCAGCCTACCAAGCCAATTCAAGTAGCTAAGGCCACTGAGTTAGAGGCAGAGTTGAAACTAACACTCCTATCCCTTCAGTCATAGTCCAGGGATCACTGTACACTACTTCTTGCCTCTCTACATAGTGCAATTTGAGAGAAGAATAAGTGAAAAAAATTAGCAGAAGCATTTATCACGGCAGTCTCATTTCCAATGTGGCAAAATAGAACTCCTCTGGGGTTTGTCAGACAATCCTAAAATCACAGTGTGATCATTTAAGTGGAATAAATATTGCATATTGGACCAATAAAGTAAAATGGCCAGCCTCAAGATGTCTTACCCATGTTCTTAGACCTGTAATAGAACTTATAAAAGTCCTTATATGGAATTTCATTAGTTCTGGCAGTCCAAAATAAGTATGACCACAGTGAGAATTTGACCAGGATTCTGTATAGTACCGTTAGACTTATTTCTAGTTCAACCTTATTCCTATTGGTGGTGTTAATTTTACCGAATGCCATTGAATAACTCTGATAAACCTTGTTCAAGAACACAAAATTCTAAAAGTCGGTGATAGTCTTGTTGTGTATGTGTCCATTTGATTCAATAGAACATAAACATTATCCAGCAGGAGGATGTAATGTCATTATCACTTGTCTGCAACCCAGGCCTAAACAAATCACTTCAGAAATTACATGACAAATTAAGCTTCAGAGAGTCTTAGAGGCTATACATAGAATTAGTGATTTGAACTGTATCTTGAATCCCCGTCCAGTGCTATTTGCCCGAGTTGCTTGATAATCTATGTCCTTCCCCTTCCTAAAAGAAATGTTAGCTGATATCCAAGATAGGCAAATAATTCCTCAGCATTTTCTTATTCCCTTTTATAGAAAGTAATTGACCCTTAGTCTAACCACACCTATGGTTGAATTTTCTCCATATAAGATGCACTCAACCAATTATTCTTTCTGATAACCTCTAGCAACAGTACGATTCATCTGAAGACAGTCAGAATTATTTACTCATGATTTTATTCATTCTTTATGTTAGCAGGTTAATAAAAAACCCCTCTTACACAGTATGGTAGAAGAAAATAAACTGATAATATACATCCCCATTGTTACCATTTTAAAACTGCTGTATAAATTTAGGACTTGGTTTTTAATTGCATTATTACTGATATTGGTTACACAAAATGCCATGAGTCATAATATTAAATACTTAGAATTCCATTATATTAGACTCTGGAAAAATATGGCGACATGGGGCTGGAGAGAACACTACATGAATCCTCTTTCTTCTGGCCAGACTAAACATGCCCAGTAGGTGTGATCCATTTATCAGGCTATCCAGGAAAGGGGAGA